ATATAAAACTGATTGCAACCTGTTAGCATGAGGCATTCTTTTCTGAAGAATCATGTATTTGAATCTATCACAGAGTTCTACAATATACACCACAACCATTTTGAAAAATGTTCATTTTTATTTGTCACTTAAAAAAATGAATTAATGAAAATTGCATTAACTGTTTTGCCTTGCTGGAGTCTATACTAAAAAGTTTTAAATGGAGACTTTTAAAAATATTTTTAAAATGTTTTTTTAAAAATCTGAATTTTACTAGTTGAGTAAAAAGGAAAAGCATTATTTCTTTTCAGTTGTGAATACCGTTGCATATACCAAATTATCATTTGCAGCCACTGATATTAAATATTTACAGATCCATTAAACATATTTGCCCATAATAATCACAGATTTCTTTATTAATGTAATGTTCAACGAAGCCTTTAGCTATTGCATACACCATAACGAGGGGCTGTTATTTCATCAGAAAAAAAAAATATGTCAGTAATAATTTCATGTGTTAGAAAGACAGCAAAATAAATCTCTGAAATTAACATCATCATTGAATAATACTAAATTATTGAACCACTGGCATGAGGATGTCAGTTGTTTATTACTGCATCCCACTTTTCTATCAACAACAAATAAACACAAGTTGTTTAGACTTCAATATGCTTTTGTTTTGTCCCAAATATATATATATATATATATATATATATATATATATATATATCTCATATGATTAATAATTCTGAAGCAGGTAGCTATAAAATAAACCGTCACAACAGTTCCCTACAATATATTGTGGAAATTTGCAGAAGTTGAAAGAAAAGATAACTATGAACATAAAAAGGATCTTATATATAACAATTTATCAAATGCACTAGTCATATATAGAAATAAATTCAACCATAACTTTGATCTAAAAAATGCCACACCTATTAAAAGAGAAAGTAATTTATTTAGACAGAAAATTCTTGTGAGTGCTGCTATTGAATCTTACCAAAATATAAATCTGTGACCTGGATTTTTTTCAAAATATCTCCTTTTTTAAAAGAAATACTTCTTTCTCAAGCCAAACATATATGACTATAAAAAATTTTAAAAATTAAAAGAAAATTGTTAAGTTCAAAACCTATTATTTAGAATATATAAATACATAAATTAATTATTTAAAATAAAATAATTATTAATAAATAATAATTATATTATAGAAAAAAATCAACAACAACATTTACTTTTGTTTATTAGACTAAATTACATCATTACATTAGCACCTCCTTTACCTTGACTTTCAGTTAGGTCTGAAGTATATTTATGAACATTCTTAAATTTAAAAATTCTGAAAAACTAATGACATTTTTGTTTATAAAATATTTGTTGCAAAATAAAATCCTTATATTTGCTTTGATAAAGTCTGTCAGAGAACGAAATACATTGGCTAAGAAAAATTTTCCTTTTGTCTTTATTCATATAGTCTTTTTACAGACATATTCTTAGTTATATCTGAATTTTTTGATACACATGCATTCACAAACACACACAAATTTTTATTTTTGTTTTCTTCATCAATTTTGAATTTATACTGCATTCCAACATTGGTAAAAGTTTTGATGTATGACCTATTTATAAAAATATAAACATGGTTTAAATTTTAGATGCTTATTCCCAATTCTAAATTTGTTTCTATACTAAAACTATTTGAATTCTGAGATGAAATATTTTTATTCATTTTTCTCTTGTGTTTTTGTTATGGCATACCTACAGACAATAATAGGTATGTTCCCATTCACATAAATACAGTAGTATATACTGTACATGCTATAGAGTTGGAGATTCATTGTAGAATTCACTTGACTCACTTCTAGCAGTTGATTACTACTTCTATGCGCTGCTGGCAAATCTTATATGTGTTGATCTTGTCCTAAGTATTATCGTTCATTACCAACCTTCGTTTGATTATTCTATTCCATAACCTTCCCTAGGTTTCAACAGTTTTCTTTAGCTATTTTTTTTGTCACACTTTCTGTTTCATACAATTTTTATGGTTAGTATTTATTCAGTTTAGAAAATTGTAAATGAAAAAAAGATGAAGTTAAAAATTAAAACCAAATTGCAAAATTTTAACCATGATATAATATGATAATCAGGCCAGCTTTGTTGCTTATACAATCTCATCTTTCAATTTAAAATCTTTATCTTGCTCATAAGAGTATTTCTTTCTGTCTGAATTTCTGGGATGAGAAGTTTTCATTATTTACAGTATTTACAGTTGGACTAATATCATCATCTTTGTTGTACCCACCAGCCTTCATCAGATGATTATTGATCTGAGTAACCTTCAACGAATTTTGAACTGAACCCTTTATTTAATCTACAGGGGCAGATTGTTCTTGTTCTGTCTATATCTAGGGATATCTCATCTTCTTTTTTTAGTATTGTCCAGTTATTGCTGGTTCTGTTTTCACTGAGTCTGAGTCTGTATTAACAGCCTAGGAACTGAACTTGTGGGGGTCATTCACATCATAGCAGTAGAAATAGACTCATTCCTATATATATATATATATATATATATATATATATATATATATATATATATATTACAAGTGTTTTAAGGTTGCATATGATAAAAGGAAGAAATCCCTTTTTCATTATGACAAGAAATGAGAGAGAGGAGTTGGACATCTAGACTTTCTAATGGTCAGTGGCGAAGAGACTGAATTCAATGTCATTTGGTGGGATGTCTGTTTTCTGGCAGGAATGGATTCTGTTGCATGCTGGAAGAACTTTTATTATTCTTTTTGGTTTTTATTTTATTTTATTTTAAACAATATTATGTACCCAACCCTGGAGTTAACTGAATTTCAGGGATTAAATAAATCTAATAGTAGAAACTAATTCTTTTAACCATTCTAATTGTGATATATATGCAATAAATTACAGAATGTTCCCTATATAGCCCTCATATACATGAAATACAAATGGATTCTGAAATATTAACAGCTTGATCAACTTTGCAAAATCTGACAAAATATCAAATTTTTGGCAGGGTTTCTTGGTCATGCCATGAACTTTTCAGCATCCCTCTGTAAACTGATTCTGTAAGGCATAAAACACCTCAGTAATATATGAATACAACTATAATATAGATGTATAATATAAGTATGCCTTTACAATTTCTAGTTTTCAGGTAAGGTTAGTATTTGTAGCTTGACTGATGTTTTAAGATACTTTTCAGTGAGGGTAGATAGAATAAGATAAACATTATTAACAAAATAGGTAGGATACCTATATTTAAATATCTATAGTAAATCCTGGTAAAATAATACCAACAGATAGAAGCATTTACTAAATATAACTTAATTAATCATAGTGCAAAATAGTGAGAAATCCAATGTTGCACTTATCTTTTAACACATTCACTACCTTCTATTTTTCACTTGGCAGGTAAATTATTAAAAATGTTAATTACTTTGGAAGTGAATATGTTAATGGGAAGAACTGTTTGCCTTGAAAATCAGCATTTGAAATATTGATTTTTATTTGGACTTAAATACAAACCACACTTACAAGTGGTCAGTTAGTTATGTGCCATGCAACATGCTTAACTGATCATGTATCTTTTGATACATGACTGACATGGCAGATTTTTTCCCGCAGTAGGTTGCCATTTCTTTCTGCAGTAGACCAGTTGCCATCCAAGGCTATAGAACCCAATCTGTCCTGCTATTTACCCATAGCTGGGAGGAGAAGAGGAGCATTCATACCTTTCCCAAGTGTATTAGCATGTAAGTGAATGTAATGCATTCGACTGGAATTCAAACTCAGATCTCTGATTCCTCAATCCAAGTCACTATCCATTATTCCACCGTGCTTCCTCCTTGCAAGTAGTAATTTATTGTAATTATTACAGTTACCATGGCAGTCTTGAAATAAGCCCAACAATAATCTAAAAACTAAAATAATGTAATCACTCTCCCTATATCATGGTAGGCAATATTATTGGAGACTTTTTGGCAACAGATTTGATATGAATAAATATTGCTATACATTAAAGCTTTTCATTATATCAAATTTGAACATTTTTAAAACCAAAGATTATTAGGTTCATATTAAAATTCAGTTGTAACTTGAGTGCTTTTATTCTAAACTGTGTAAATTATACAAAGACTATATTAGGTTGAGTCATAAACAATTTCTGATTTTTGTTCATCAACTTTATTCTTCAAAAAATAAAGTACAATTACATTTTGATGTGAAAAAATTTTCAGTGAACTCTTCATTAAAGAAAGTTTTTCCACATCAAAGTCAAAAAAAAAGGTAATAATCGGTTAGTGCAAAGTCAGATGAATATGGAGTAGAAGAGACCAATAGAGTTCCAAAATTTTTCCCCTGTTTTTCTTGTATGCGGCCTTGCATTGTCATGGAGGAGAAAAACATTTTTCTTTTAAACCATTGTGTATGCTGCCATTGCCATGAAAAAAACTAGACTCTATATTTATTCTAAACTGGTATATATGTTTAGTAGTTAGGATGATATATTTGCAATTACAATTCTTTCTCAAAAACAGAAATTATTTATGACTCAACCTAATATTATTCTTTTTGAAGATTTATAAAACACAATTTTTTATCTATAAAGCTTTACAAATAATTAAACATTTTACTATGTATTTGTCAATTAGTATAGAAATTTTTTTTTAACTGAAATAGAATTTAAGTTTGATAATAAGTAGTCTTTTTATATACTCTAAACAATCTTATTCCATCTACAACCATCTTGAAGGGGTGTTTGTTTTTGTTTTGAGTTTTTTAATAAAAAAATAAGAAGAATGATGACCAAAATATTCAAGGCTACCTAAAATGTCATCTTATGTTGTTGGAGTAATTTATTTGAAAAAGCTAAGTGGCTTTCTTAAATTAATGTGAAAAAGTTTTGCTGTGAGTCATCACTGTAGTGCTCTGTTTTAAACATTTTGAGTTTCAGTACAAAATTTAAATTGTCTTTTTTTTCCTACTTACAGGCTGTTCAGTGGATCTTGGAGCTTTGTGATGTCATGGTAAAAAGTCACACTGAGATGGGACAGACAAAAGAAGATATTGAAAAGCTACAAGAGGAACATAAAAATTTTGAATCAACTGCTTTAGTACGTTTCATTTGATTTAGAAGATGGCTACATTTCATTATAATCTACATCAATAAATCTGTGGAAGAAAATGAAAAAAAGAATTTATTTTACACAAATATTTATTTTTTAACATAATATCTTTCCTTGTCAATGCACTTAAGTCAGTGGTGGATATTAATCACATAGATCAAAATCTCACTAATTATGTGTTAGGCTATGAACTTATTGATCCATCTCCATATATAGATTGGAATTTTCAGAAGTATATTTTATATATGGTCAGATCTGGCTGAAAATACCTGTTCTTGTTAAATCACTGAAGTTCAGCAGTGTTAAGCCTAGTTAGATTTTATTGTAGCCTAATTATGTACAATAATAGATCATATGCAATATAGGTGAACAATTCAACTAGAAAAATTGAAGATAAATACAATGGACCTAAATACAAATTAGAAATATATCATAATAAATCATTCCATTTTAAATAGATCAACAATGTTTTGCAATAATTTTTAACATCAACTTCAGATTTTTCTTGTTAAAAATCTGAATAATTTTAACACATTCAACATTATAGATAAAAAAATATTGTTTTTTAAAGACTTAGCATGAACAAAAATTCATGGATTTAGAAAAAAAAAGACCTCAGACTGGCATCAAAATCTGAAAATTTTTCATCATTTTTAGTCAGTTGTGCTCAGTTTAATTTGTAATCTATATAAATGTAGGTAGAAAAAAGCAAATGTTGATAAGATAGCAAGGATCACAAAGCACTGGCCAAGGTCCCCAATCACCGACCCTGGGTAGCAACTTTCTCTGTAGAATCAAGGGATTTAAGAGTTCCTTATTGATTGAATACTGTTCAAAATCTAGAACATTGTAAGTTTTACTAACAATAGAATGCACTAAAACTGCTCACTCTCTTAACTTTAATTTTTCAATAACATATATAAAGTATTTTTTTGATTGGTTTGTTTTTTATGTCTATGAACCTGTTACAGGTTATTTAAAGCCAGAAAATATATTTAGATTATAAGAATTTTTTGTTGTTTTTGAAATACTAATGATTTACTGATATGAGTCCTACTAATTAACCCATAGCTGATGGGAGAAGAGGTAGATTCATACCTTTCTAAGAATATTTGCATGTAAGTGAATATAATGAGTCCAACTGTTTTTGTAACTTGGCTCTCAAGTTTCAATTCTGAGCCCTTATTCATTATACCATCCATACATCCAAGCTTATAGCACTTGGTATTACAAAGTGGTCACTCATCTAAGTACAGGCCAGGCTTGATGTTGCTTAACTTTGGTGATCGTATGAGAACCAGGGTTTTCAATGTGTTATGGCTGTAAGCCTAAAGATTACTGTAGAATCATTTCTTTTGATGTTATGTTAAAAGAACAAAGTTGATACAAATATTAGGGATAATGAACTTGACTTAGTTGCCTTCTTAGGTACCTGATTAGTAGTACCATTTATGGAAAACCTGCTCTCCAAAAGATAATTCCTAAATTTGTACAAATGATCTTATTCAAGCTGTCATATAAAATCTACAATTATTAGTAAATATAAGAATAATAACATTGAAAACAACTTTTTTAAAAAAAATCAAGATCACCCCAAGCAAGGCAATAAAGCCTCTAAAGACACAAGGGGTTACTAGGTGTGGAAGAATTAGAAAACAGAAACATTACTAAGGAGCAAGGACAAAGGAGTAATCAGAAGGAAAGTAGATAGTGATAGATATTGCATTTGAATTTTTGAAGATTAAATTTGACTGGAAAGCATGGAGCCAGAAGAGAGTTCCACAAGTGAGAAATGCAAGAAAAGAAACTGTTAGCATAGAACTTATGGCTCCATTTAGCCAAGTAAATTGGTGAGACCTCCTTGCCGGTTTAATAGGCCAGATTCTTTTGAAAAAAAAAAGTTGTTTTTTGTGAAATAAAAATTTAGGTAAGATTTCTGTAGTAATGACTAACTTCCTATAAAATTTAAACAATTTTAGTTTTTTTTTTCAAGTCAGAGTTCCAGATTTCATACTTACCAGGGAGTGTTGAAAAGTTCTTGGCCTGACCAAGAAAGGATTAAAAATCTGATGTTTAGTCATTTGGTCAGATTTCAATACTCTCTTGTATAATGTGGAAATTTGTTCTGTAAGATTAATTAATTTACAGTAGAAATACAGATGAAAATTTTATGATTTTCTTAACTGAATTTTCTGATAAATCTTAATTCTTAAATTAATGATTGAATAAGCTCATGGCAAGTTCTGTGACAATAAAATATCTGTAGAAATTCCCCTATCGCATCATTAAATATTTGAGCTTAACAACTTTAACAAAATATTGTAATAATGATCATAAATAAAGGGGTACAAATGAAAAGATTTGAAATTGACCATCTTTTTCCATTTCACTGAAACAGGTATTAAACAATTCTATGTTTCTTTCTTTCATTTTCTCACAAAAACCAAGTAGTGTCTGTGATATGTCTTTTCCATTTTTCTATGTGATCAAAATGGAATAGTTCATTATTTATAAGGTATTGGCAGGACATTTTTTTTTCAGTCATGCTGATAAAGTAACTAAGGGTATGACAAGCATAAATTATCTTATAATAAGATGATTTATTAAGTAAATGAAATAGTGATTAGTTAATTTGTGGACTATATAGTCTTATAAAGAGTATAGAAAATATTAAAAATGTTATTGATAAAATTTAACTATAAAAGTTTTAAAATTCTAAAATAATTACAATAACATTAATGCCTGTTTTATACAAGTTAGCATAGAATGTAACTCAAATATATTTCATGTGTGCTTGGATTTAGAATGAGAAATTTTTCTTTTGTGTTTAAATATGGTATTTTGAGAACATTTAAGGCCATGAAAATACCATTAACACCTAAATTTTGAATAAAGCTTATTTGCAGTATGAAACAAAATAAGGCTGTTAACTCACTTTTTTCTCCTATTTTCTTAAAATCTCTCTACTTAATTCAAGAAGATAACCTATTCTAATGAAAACTTTCAAATAAATATTTTGATGGTGCTTATTTTGCAGGGGACTTATCAATATGGAAAACAACTTTTAGAAGCTGCTCTTTTTCTTAGACGCTCTTTGCGATACAGTTTGGATGATAATAACCTTGTGGCTGAACAACTGGAAAGAGCTTGGAAAAAGTTCTCCCAAGGAACCATGGAAAGAGCCACCCGGCTCACTCTTTTAGCAATGTTTATATCATCTTCTGACAAGGTAAAAATAATATTTACATGGATGACATCTTGATATTGTACTGTTTTGTCTTGTAAATGGATGCATTTAGTCATGACTGTCAAAACTGGGTGAGGATTGAGGAGATGAAAGAAAGGCATTTTGGAAACTGGCTTGTTGGCTGAAGATCAAGAGGCAATGAGTGAAAGCTTGAAAGGCAGATATGGATAGAAAAACATAAGCATTTTTATACATTAATATTCTTTATGAAGAGATAAAGCAAAAAAGATTCTATAGAATGCAGCTGAAAATATTTGTGCATTCCTTATTCCTTTTTTGCATATGAAACTAATCCATGTTTGTATAACATTTAAATAAAAACAAATAATGAAAAGAAAGGATGACAAAATGCAAATTTCAATTAGTATTGTAGGGTATTGTCATAACATTAATACTGGGGTTTCAAACATCCCATGTAAGATATTTTAGATATAACATTTAGTTTTTAATTTTCTTATCTATTGTCTTGAATATTCTTTTTTTTAAATAAATATAAAAAAAACTGGTTCAATTTTTGAAAAATTGAATTAAAAGGCTAATATTAAAAAATTAATTTGTACGTTTCAAAAGTTAAAATATGCAAAAACAGATTTCATTTTATTTTCAGTAAAAAAAGAAATGCTTGTAATTCACACAATTATTCAAATATTACAACTAAAGAAACTCAGAAACTCCTTGACTGCACCCTGACCCGGGATAGTAGCATCTGTTAGGGTCCTCCTGGATCCCTCAAAGAAAAATAAATCACTATGAAAGTAAAAAAATACATTTTTATACTAAAAATACCAGAAACACATTTTCATAGTAAAAAAAAAAATTACCAGCCATTTTTGTAAAAGAAATTATTATGCTCCCAAGGAGGAGGCATGGTGGAGTAATGGATAGCAGCTCGGATTGAGGAATTGGAGAGCTGAGTTTGAATTCTAGTTGAATCCATTACATTCACTTATGTGTTAATACCCTTGGGAAAGTTATTAACCCTCTTCTCCCCCCCCGCTATGGGTAAATAGCAGGACAGATTGGTTTCTATAGCCTTGGATGGCAACTGGTCTACTGCAGAAAGAAATGGCAACCTGCTGTGGGAAAAAATCTACCTTGACAGTCATGTATTGAAAGATACATGATTGCCTAAGCGTGTATCACACATAGCACATAACTGACTGATGCTTCCAAGAAAATTAAATTTTGGCATTAAATGACCCATAATGAGTTGATATGTTGCTAAGTAAATAAACTCTTGATAGAGGGATCCAGAAAGCTACTTGCCTAATCAAGAAGATTTGACTTGTCACTTGCTAACCATGTGGATGAATGAAAAAGTAAAGACAATTTCAATACAACACCTTTATTTCCATTTATAAAGAACAAATACATATGTCATTTTTCAACAGTCCCTATATATGGCAATGCACTTCTGGTATTATTCATCTTCTTCATCCTTCCTAAAAGAAGCTTTTCGTTTACTCACAAAACCTTGTCTGCACCACTTGCTTGTTTGGGCACCCACTGTGCACAAAATTTACGGTGCCCAAAGTCATTATGCACTATGGCATGAATGACCATGATTGCCACAATTTTTGTTATGTGATTTATCAGTCTTCCCTGATCACGGCATCCTTCCCCTGGATGTGCTCTCGTGTGCAATATGATGATTGGTGACCAGATGTGTGTCAGTTATACTTGTTTTTTCCACTTTAATGCATTCTACCCACTTACACGCCTTTTATTGATTCATGGTGTATGCTCCATACTGTGTTAACATCTGGATGGATTTCTACAGGTTTGACTCCCTTGTCTCACAGAAAGCACATTATAGCATGTTGTTCCTTGATGGTGCAATTGCTGAGTAGGTTTTCATATGCCTGACCTCATTGCTCCCTGCCACTCAACTGAATGACAGCATGCTGTACAACTAGTGCCCCATCATCCTATGAACATACAAGGTGTCATGCATCAGCACCTTTCAACTGCCTTTACTTTCTGATTTACCCTTATATTAAGGAAAAAAATTTTATGAGATGTTCAAATACCTTATGATATTAATGGAGGGTTAATAAAAGAAAACAAATAACAATGTGATAATCCAGAAATCTAGAAAAAGAAAGGGGGGTTGCAGCACCGTAAGGTTTCAGTTTATAAATAAAACTTAACAATAATTAATAAAATGGCTGCTTGAAAATATACAAATAAAACAAAATGTAATTTTGTAATTTTTAATAAAAGAAAGCATATCACAAAGTGTGGAAGTCATGAGTCTTATACATGTGCCATGAAAGCATTCTAAGTTTAAAGGCAGGGTCTTGGGAAAGTCTTTTAAGAAATTCTATAATCCAGAACTTGGAAGACAGGATTAACCTTTAAAACAGGCAAAAGTAAGAGGGTTAGGATTAATCATAAAGACAAATTGGCCACAATAATTATAAAGCAATTATTATTCAGGAGTAGAATTGGTTGCAACTATGTAATTTATTTGAACATCTTATCTTTACTGTTTTTATGTTGTTCAAAACAAAGTGGGTTACTAACTATGACTTACATTGCACAAATATTTCACTTATACAATTTTGGTTCCACAGGAAAATAACACCTTTCAATAAAATAACTGAAAGTGCCTCTCGCAATAATATTTGGCTTGGAATTTTGACAATTTCTCCTTAGTCACTTATTTTCAGATTTACTGTTCAGGAGTATTTTTTTAATCCAATTATTGACTTTTATTGAGAAATCTTCAGTATTTTAAATGAAGAGTCTGCCAAGAAGCAGCAACTACATTTTTTCTTTAAATGAAAGATTTTTTTTTACCTAATTATCTCATTTAATTGGAAAAAATATTACATTTTTGTCAGATACAAATATTTTTTTCATATTTACAATTTGCTGTTTTTATAAAAACTTACATATTTTTATTCTCTCATGTATCTTATCTCGCTGATGTTTTTGCATAATTTATAGATTTTGGATCGAATCAACCAAGTCTTCACAGAAATATCTGATCTTGTTGAGAACAAATTTCGAAGAGGAGCAGAGCTGAGAAAAAAATATCAACCAATTTGTGATGTTCTTTTTGATGATTCTCTGGAAACAATCCAAATGGGAAAGGCTTTACTTGATCGTCTTGCCCTGCCTGTAATTGTAGCTGATGAGTAAGTCCCAGGTTCTTTTCTTATTTTTAAAGAACTGAAATCCTACACATTTAAGCACTTGCTCAACACCTGGCAAAGCAGTTATTAGTTTTGTGAAAATGCTATATTTTACATCTTGAGGGAAGGCTGAAATGTTTAAGATTTGATTCCAAGTGCAAATCTGGTTAAGTTTGTAATATCAAGAATAATCTAGTAGATGGAAATCCTGACTCTAAAGAGGGGCTTAACATGTTTCATAGTTTTTAATCAGTCACAATATCCAATAATCTATATGATGAAATTATGCATGTATAATACAAAAAATGTTTTCACCATACAAGACCCAAGAGCCATTCAAGTTAGAGGGTGGCTAAATGAGGTTGTTGTATGGATGTAGGAGATAGAAGTGGAAGTGCAGATTATAAGGATATTTATGATAGGTGACAGTTGACCCTTGACTTGAAGAGGTTAAGATTGTAGTGTTCAGTAAAGCATCCTCTCAAGAGTCTGTTCCATAAAGTAGCAGCTCTTAGGAAGAAGCTGTCTGAATGGAACTTCCTACTTACCAGTGGAATATGAAGGGAATGTAGATGGCTTGTCTCTGTGCATATGGCATGGCAGTTCTCAGCTGTAAATATCTAAACTAATTAAACTAGGCAATTTAGTTCCATAGAAATAGCAATAAAGTAGTGAGAAGCTTGCAATGTTATCTGTGAGAGAGAGGTTGTAGGTTGGAAAATAATTTATTGCCTACAAGGCCATGTCAATGCTTTTGAACACCGTGAAAGTTGGAAATAGAGGATTGGGCAGCTCAAACCTAGATATGGCAGCAATACACCATTTTTTGTCTGATGTGATTAGCTAGAACATGGTAGTTGGAGTCATCTACTTTCTCGAGTAGTATAAGGAGCTGGACATTTTTGTAGTATCTTTAATGGTAGATCATATATATGAGTACCACTTGAGGGCTGGTGTGATTGTTTGCATTGATAGTCTATGAGACAAAATGTAGAATGTCACTTTTTAACAAAATTCAGTAATTCTTCACAAATTGATTTAATTAATTGATTTTAAACCTGCATGTCATTGTTACAATTGTTGCTGCAAAATGCAGCATCTGAATCTTGCTGCAAAATCATATGTATTCTGCTAATGTAGTTAGACTACTGAAATTGTGTAATGGGGAAAGTATTGTCATGTTGTTCAACAGATTGATTAAGCAAATTGCACGAGGATTAAAAGGTGAAATATGAAGAGTTTTGTTATGTACAAGTGTAAAATTCATACTTTTTATCACTGAAACTGGGTTTGCATAATACTTGAGCTTGCAGTAATATAGTATATGCTCACTCCTATACTGAACTAGGAGAATATAATTGTAAAAGAATTGTATTCTTCTAGTCCAGTGTTGGTTGACTAGTTTTGCTGAGTTCAGTTCAGACTTCAGATTTATTGTATAAATATGAATTTTAAGATTTCTGCAGCTTTTTCAAAAAGATGATACAAGTGATTTCTCACCAGAATTAATATAATTTCTTAGTTTAATTCTATCATATTCTGCTTATATTTATTAATTATGAATAGTGCATAATTAATTGTGTCAGGAAAAGCACACAGCTTTGCGCATATATCTATAAAGATAAAATATTTATAAGTATGTGTGTATGTATATAAACACACACACACACACAAGGAATATTAAGAAATATCCATTGGTTACAATTTTTCCTAGAATCTCTTGGTAGAACAGAGAACTTTTTAGCACCATTTTGAGAATGTTTACATATGTACAGTGTTCAATGGGTAAATTGTCGCCATTTTATATTTTTAATTTCGCACATGTGCATTGTTTTTTAGTCAACTGCACAGTATTGTAGGGTCAGTTGGGCATTGTCTAAGAAAATTAGCACTACAACGTAATTCACTCTGCCAGAATTAATAATTAATTGGAAACAGCATGCTGTACTGCTTGGCATATGTGCCAGAAGCTCAAATATGAAAATTTGTTTGGGTGTCAATCTGAGGACAGTGCATAGGATTTGGAAAGAGTTGAATGAGTCTAATGGTGATTATGAAGGTATAGAAGCTTGGAAAACTCACTCTGATTGTTCTGACAAGAAAAGAACTCCAGAATTTGTTGAAAAGATCCAGGCCATGATTGACAATGATCCCTCCAAGTCAATCAGATCAATAGCCAGGGAGGTAGTGTTTCCCTATTTCAAGAGGTTGGCTGCTGGAAGACTTTATGTCCGGCAACAGGACTCTGTACCATGCCACACATGCAGGAGAACCCACTCATGACTGTCAGACAATTTCTGCGACCACATCATCCCTTACATCTGGCCACCTAACTCTCCAGACTTCAACCCCCTTGATTATGTGTGGGACTCAGTTGAGCGAGAGATCAACACCTTGTAACACCAAAGATGAACTGAAGGCAAGGATCATGGCAGCATTCACCAGCTTAAACAAGGAGACCATCCAGAAGAGTCACAAGAGTAATTCAAGATATTTTTGTGTAATTTTGGTAAAAATATCTGATAAAATGAGATGGCAGTATTATTTTCATTTCTGCATAATTTAGACGACAATTTATCTATCGCACTCTGTATAAGCACTACATAGATACTCTCAGTTTCATGCTTCAAGTGACTTTAGACCAAGCTTGGGGCATAAAACTGATATTTACTATGCAGTGTGAATTCCTATGCTCATACTGTTTCTATTGAAAAATGCCTGATCTCCAATAATGAACTATTTCTCTAAAAATATAGCAAATGTTAAACTATATATATATATATAATTTTAATTTTAGCATTCATTTTTACTCTGCTATAAAATAAATCATTGTCTTTACTTTTTGCCACATCTTTTATAGCAAAGATTGATTAATATTTATATCTTTATAAGAAACATTTTACTTTCAAAGTTTTACTAACATTTTATGAATATTTACTCATTTGGTAATTAAAATTCTGGTATGTCCCCTCATAGATAAATATAAATAAATTGGTATTTGTTGTAATGGAATGTCCCACACTCCCTATTGCCTATGTAGACTGACTATATCAGTAGTTATATATAGTGATCACAGGATATACCTGGGAGCTTGCTTCAGGAATTACTAGCCTGCCATCCAATTCCCTGTTTTTCAGTAGTGTATCCTCTTTTACAATAAACCCCTTTTCTTTCATCTATGCACATGTTGCAAGACCACCTTTATTTGTAACTTCTTTAAGGATACAACAGTATTGATTTTTAGAACGTTGGTTAAATTTAGATAGCTATAAGAAATTTCTGGTTTATTTATATAGATTGTTAAATATAAGCTTTAACCCTTCAACCTACACCATAAATATTATCTCTCAATGGTCAATTCACTGTAACCTGCTCCATGTATACTCTGTCATAATATATGACAACATCATTGCAAATAATGCAACAAGTTACACAAACAGTGAGACTTTGAGTGTGTTGAATGCTGAAGGGTTAAAATGCTTACAATATAAATACATAGCTCATGGAATGATATAAATTTCAAACCACTGATGCACATTTTCTCTTTATTATTATCAATCATTTAAACAAGAGATGCTGAAACTGCAGGGATGCTTAGTTTTGAATTCAGTTTTTTTAATTTTTGGTGTCTAATGTGTCTAGATGCACAACCTAATGGACCTCATTCAGATTCCTACCATCTATGTTTTTATTGCTATTGTTTTTAAATATCCCACATTGTAATAGCAGTAGTTTACTTAAGAAAGGTTGAAGTGACTCATTTAGATATGAAGTCACAAAGATTATAAGTAGCTACAGCTATTACCCATGAGGCGGTTGAGTGCATACTACTTTACATGAGACAATAAAACTACACCACAATGGTGTCACCAATATCTAAAGAATTGAATGAACAATTATCACTTGATAATTATGAATATGCACAAGTGTGGCTTAGAATGCTATCAGCTAAAGTTCGGATGAAAAAGCTGTAGAATTTAAAATCAGTTGGAGGAGAAAACCAAATAACTGATCTTTTGTTGGCCACTGCTGGTTTTGACGCTATTATAAAATTATCAGCAATTGCACACCTGAGACAGTTGGAGAATATGAAGTTTGACGATAGAAGTCAACTAATAGTGAAAAATATAACACCCAAGAAAAAATTAGTGACTGCAGAGAGAGTTAAGTTCATGAATATTTCTCAAAAAATGAATGAAACAGTTACTGAATATGTTCTTTGTTTAAAAGAGGCTGCTAAATATTGTGAATTTGATAAACTGTGATCGGAAAACTAGTCAATTGAAGAGGATTTGATCGAAATGAAATTAGTGAATGGCCTTTAAAATGAGGAGTGTTGGCAAATGACTTTAATGCATTTACAACTGGGAAAGTTGTCACTAGAACAGTGTGTTGAATTTGTTCAGCAACAAGAATTGATTGGAAAATTTAATAAAACAAAAGTTATTGATCTGGACACATATGCCATAAAGAAAAAGGATAAAATAAGCTGTACTTTTTGTGGATATCAACATCAAAGATAAAAACAAAAATGTCCGGCTTTTAAAAAAATGTGAAATGTGCTTCAATATGAATCATTTTAAATGTACGTGTAAATCCAAAAAGAAAAACATAGAGACAATCCAACAAAATGAAGAAAAATAAGTATGGACATCTTATTTTGTTCGGTTCAACAAGAGTGTGACACTGAATGTTATGTGAGCCAGGTTTTAACCCTTGTCTTAACAGCCACTCTTATCTGACATAATGTTGGTCATCAGTCTGGCTGTTCCAGAGATACAGAAAACAAGGATACTTTGTGTACCCACCTTGGAGCCCTAGGACCAGTCCAACCACCTCTCCACAGATCAACCATTTATGCTCTTAGTAGTTAACAGCAGACAACAAATGATCCATGCTGTTGTGAGTTTCTTTCATTGGTACTGAACACCCAATAGGGATAGATGAAAAACTATTCCCATTATGTAGAAGAACTACTTTGAGACTTCTGCTGGATAAGTCAATAAAAGGTCTCCATTCCATAGCATCATACTCTAAGTCCATTGATTTGATCAATCCAGCAATGTTGTTGCAATAAACCAATGATGACTTATCCTGGAACATGAAAAACTGTCTTAATTCTCTCTCACAGTTTCAATACCAGTAGAACGTTGTTCCTTGTGCCAACAGATGTTTCTCTTTGAGACATGAACCCAACAGCTGAGCAGACTCCTTTGAAAGGTTCAGGTCTCGTGTCAGGTCATTGAGTTCTGTTTGTGTTAAGGGTACTGGTTGGTCATTCTCTTCTGTTTTGTATGCATCATCCCCAGCTACAACAGTCATGTCACTATGTCGGAATCAGAGCTATATTCCATGTTAACATCTGGCTCAGGAACAAGAAGGTCTGGGCCATGAGGGATTGGTCTTATGGCAGAAGGAACATTCGTGTATTGGACATGGTGCTTGTTCTTGTGATTTATTCCTTTTAGGTTTATCATGCGGAAATAGTAGTCCGTAATGTGATCTTTTTCTTCCCTCCAGACCATTGGAATGGCAAATGGCATACTCTTCCTTTTACCATTTCTCCAATCCCTCAAGTTCTCCACACGTTTTACAGCAAACCTGGGGAGCGAATGGCTTATCCTGATCCCCTAGTTTGACTCCAAAGTAATCACGATATGGCTTCTTCACAAAGTCAATGGTTTTTGCTTGATCTTTAGGAAGAACAACATTACCACAGATATAACAGAACCTGTCAGGATTATTCTTACACTTGCAATCCATTCTTACATGAATAAAAATGTCAAACTGAAAAGAGAAAAATATAAATCAGCACTCAGCTCGTCATTGACACTTGACACAGTACATTAAAATCCTTTTAAACTGTGGGATAAGCCCTGCCCCTTCTAGATATGTGGGTGTTAGTGGGTAGAGTGGTACACTGTAGGTAGGTACATATACAACATTATATGCTATACTAAACATCAGGCACCCATGACACAGGCTTTTGAATAAATGTTAGTAATGTGTAAAACTTGTAAGTATTCAAGCAAATGTTAAAAACCAGACCTGATTAAACACAATGAATGGTATTTTTGAATTCTGCATAAAATGGCAATTATATATGACTCTATAAAACCTTTGACCTTTGGAAAAAATATTTTTAACACAGGCTCGTGTTATGGCAAACTGTGAAAAAAAACCATGGTGTAATAGGAAATGATGTATTGAACATAAATTCAAGAAAATTAATAAACAAAGTCAAGGCAGAAGAAACTGGAATGTTAAACTATGAAGCAAAATTAAGAGTAAAGAAAAGTGTCTTCCTATCATATTTTCAAGAACAAAATGTGCCAGTCTATCTACTATCAATAGTTGTGGAAAAACTAAAAAATTACTGGAACAAGATCTACTTGAACAAGTTTCACCAGGAGGAAACAAATGGGCCTTCTCATTAGCAATTTTAAGAAAGAAGGATGGGGATCTACACATTTGTGATGACTACAAAATAGCTGTAAACCACAAAATATGTGCAGACTCATGTCCTATCCCCAAGGTAGAATGGGCTTTGAACTCCCTTGCAGGTATGAAAACATTCTCTAAAATTGATCTAAAGTTGGCATACCATCAAATACCTATTGATGAAGACTTGAAGTCACAACAATAAACATGCCAATAAGCTTATTAAGATGGAAAAGGATGCCATATGGAATTAAAACCACGTGTGTGTTTTCGAAGGTCTATAGAGGAAGTTATTGGTAGTGATATAAAAAATATAATTTGCTATCAAGATGACATTTGTGCTGGTGCTATTAATGGTGAAGAGTTAAAATGGAAAACCAGTATGGTTTTGAATAAGTTAAAAATGTTGGATTAACAATTAAAAAAAAATGTGTGCACAACACTAAAAAAGTATCATTTTGGGGATATTCCATATCTAATGAAGGCATATCACCAGATCAATCATTAATTGACAAAATATTAAAAGTTGAAATACATAAGAACAAAAAGGAATTGGAATCTTTCTTAGGACTTGTAAATTTCTACAGACAATATGTAGAGTGATACTCCAAATTGACAGGACCTTTGTTTAAAAAAAAGAATGTGGGATTTATTTGGATTGGCATTTCAAAAATTTAAAAGCTGTTCTGGCAAAGAAGCCAGTGGTAAAAATACTTGACCCTATAAAGGAAATAGTAGTAACAACTGATGCAAGTGAACACTCAATTTCGGGAATATGGATGGTCATCCTATTATGTATCTTTCAAGAAAATTGTCAAAAGCTGAATTGATCTATTCAAATATTGAGAATGAAGTGTTGGCCATAAGATGGACAACAAATAGAGCTCATCAGTTTTTGATTAGAAAGAAATTCCTACTAAGATCCAGCCATAGACCTTTAGAATTCATATTTAATCCTAGGGAGGAACTTCCTAAGGTAATGTTATCAAGAATTCTAAGATGCGCCTTAATGTTAATGGCATTTGACTTTCATATTGAGTATGTGAAAGGCAATACCATTCTGCATGTAGATGCTTTGTCAAGATTGAGGTTTATTACTTTTGAAAGTGAGAAAGAGGAGGATAAATTTGAAGATACTTTCTTACACTGGGTTGAACTGATATTTTGTTGATAGGGCATGCTTGAAGATTGAAAAATTTATCCACCCTCATAGGCGGACAAATTAGAGAGCCCCATTGACCATGTCCTATGCTACCAATGAAAAACTATGGTATAAAAAGAATAGTGAATCTAATCTACAAGAGGCAAGATTTATAATGCAAATTGGACAGAACACTATGATAATAGAAAAAAATGGAAATGAAATATTAGCACATGCAGACCAAGTTAGATTGCAACACAATAATGATGAAGAAATGTTTAGCAAGCCTGAAAGTAATGATGGCAAAAATGTCATGTCAAGGCAAAACAAACTCTGATGTTGAGAGTAATATAGACTCTGAAGATGAAACAGGATATTCATTGGAGAAACATTCTTATGAAAAAAAAGATCAAGATCTTTGATATCTAGAAAATCTCTAAGTGGGCGGGAGGAAGATAGTGAGGAGACTAAAGCTCCTAGAAGAAGTACCAGGGAAAATAAGGGGATAAAACCTCTTCAATACAGGAAGATGAGGTGACTTATTTACATATGAAGTCACAAAGTCTATAAGTAGCTACAGCTATTACCTATGAGGTGGATGAGTGTATATACTTCCCGTGAGTCAGTAACACTACAAAGGTGATATCTGCATGAACCTGGATGATTTTCTCTATAAAACTAAGAAATTAGTACACTTTCTATACATTTTCACCTTAATAGATTACTTTCTCTTTTAACTAAAACTGCATTATTTAATTAACTAATCTTTTAATGCTTCTAATAAGATTTTCTGTTGTTTTCCTTTTTTAATTTTATTATCTTTCTATTAATTTTACAGAAGCAACAAGAATTTTTTGACAGATGACAATATTGCTTCCTCAACCATTATGGCAAGTCTACAAAAATTGGAACTAATGATTGCTGAACTGCATGACTACTGGAATGAACTTCTCAGATCTGACAATACTGTCTTACAAACAGTTGAAGTTAATCCACAACCAATCACAACTGCTCCAATTGCACCTTTTCAAACCAAGCCCGCCTCTCCAAGCAGGCTAGGCCATCCCACATATGATTCTATATCACAAGAAAAAAATACTTTGTTAGGTAGTGCTATGAGTCCAAGTTCAAATAATAATTTTGTCAGTACGGATGGCACTCGTATAACTGCTAATATCCAAGGGATTCCTGCAGGCAATTCACTTGATATATTCCCTATAGAATCTTCCCCATATGAACACAATATGGCAGGATATAATGATGATGATCTCCTGCAAAGATTACATGATGTAAGTATTGTTTAAGACAGCTTTAGTTCATTAGTTGAATTGAACTTAGTTATTGGCTATTAATCCTAAAGCTGCATCCTAAATTGTTACATTCCTAAACAACTATTCATTAGATAAAATTATATAACTCACACTAAAGTATTAAGATTATTCCTATTAGTAATTGGGACCATATCAGTTATGATTTGGCTGTCAGTTCAAGACAAAATATCAGCTTTTTAATGATATTTGTTCACATGTTCAGTATATATGGCTATATACTGAATAAAATTGTAATGAAATTTATAAATTTTATCTATGGGATAAGGCAAGCAAAAAGGAAGCCAAATGTGTATTATCTGGATCTCAAACATTTTCAAGGTGATGCTGTAAAAGCATTTCATTTGATCACCTGGAATTGGGGCTGTGAAGAATTATAGTTTAAACTTTCCTGACTGTAAATCTACCTGGATTTAATCTGATTTTTAAAACACATCATTCCCACCAAATTTTAGTTGATGAAATATTGTTGCAACATTGTAATTTATTTATAATAAAGTACTTAACTTTGTTGTTTTTATCTCAGCTAAATGTATGGATGATCATTTTCTTGTCATGCTTTTTATGTGTATTTATCTGTTGGTAAATATGATATACAGCCTAGACATATATCAGATTAATAGTGAGTAATTAAGTGACAAAATGAAAAAATTATGTTACACATTTCCTCCCTTGAAAGAATTTCTTCAGATTAATAATGTAATGTTTTTAGTAAAGTAATCCTATATATGTAGTGGGTGAGGGAACAAAATACAACAAATGCCAGTTAGAATCTACATCAAGAAATGTTGAAGGTGCAGGATTGTTTAACTTTAAATTGAAAATTTTTGGCATCAGATATATTAAGATTAAGGAGATCATTATGATCTCCTTAACCTATCTATTGCTTTTGTTTTTGATTTTATTGCTATTGTTTTTAAATATCCCCATTGTAATAGAAGTAGTTTAGTTAGGAGAAGTAATGTTATATTATCCTAGACCAAGATTTCTCAGAGAAGACTCTGAAATTAGTGCACTTTAAATACATTTTCACCTTAATAAATTACTTTATCTTTTAATTAAAATTAGAATTGTAACTAGCATTTGTTGTATTTCATTCCCTCCTTATACATTTATATGATTCCATTGATAAAAAAAATCATTATTCTGAAGAAGTCCTTTCAAAGGACAAAATACATAACATAGGATATTTTCCCTTTCGTCATTTAGTATATCTGTGCATATATGTATCTATTATAAATCTGATAGGTATCACCCCTCAGTAAACTGTTCCCTTAAGAGTCACAGAAAATATATAGGACAATATATGAAGAAATTTACAGATATAATGATTTCTTGGATGATTTGTAGATAATACTCAGGAGAGTCAGTTATCAAGAATAACCTATGACAGTTACTGAGAATCTACACAGTCATAAGCAATATTAGTGATTATTCAACAGGGGTAAATGTTTTTGAATTACTAATAAAACAACAGTGAAATACAACAAAATTTTGGAGCCACTATTATGGTTAAATGTTGAATTTCTGAATAGTTTAATGGTGTACAGGTTAAGATTACATAATTAGATTTTTTTTAATCATTTCACTCAACTAAGGCACTAAAGCCACGAAGATGCAAGGAGTTACTGAAGATGAAGGAAACTGAGAAAACACTGCTGAGGAGAAATGATTCGAGGGACAGATGATGATTTATGTTGGATTTAAATTTTTAAAAATCATAGTTGAAAGGAAAGCAAGCAGTTGGAAGAGAGTTCCACAAGCAAGAAGTTCAAAGGAAGAAACTATTAGAACTTACAGTTACACTAAGCAGTTTCAGCAGTAAAATAACAGGATGTAGCTGCCAATCTAGTAGAATGCTTAAATTCATAAAGTTAGGGTACAAAAAAAAAGAGCCCATCAAAACAATTGCCATGAAAATATTTATAGAAAATGCACAGGGAAGCTATGATACAGCAGTGCAAAAGTGATTGAGACTGAAGCTATGATACAGCAGTGCAAAAGTGATTGAGACTGAAGCTATGATACAGCAGTGCAAAAGTGATTGAGACTGAAGCTATGATACAGCAGTGCAAAAGTGATTGAGACTGAAGCTATGATACAAAGTGCAAAAGTGATTGAGACTGAAGCTATGATACAGCAGTGCAAAAGTGATTGAGACTGAAGCTATGATACAGCAGTGCAAAAGTGATTGAGACTGAAGCTATGATACAGCAGTGCAAAAGTGATTGAGACTGAAGCTATGATACAAGTGCAAAAGTGATTGAGACTGAAGCTATGATACAGCAGTGCAAAAGTGATTGAGACTGAAGCTATGATACAGCAGTGCAAAAGTGATTGAGACTGAAGCTATGATACAGCAGTGCAAAAGTGATTGAGACTGAAGCTATGATACAGCAGTGCAAATTGAGACGATTGAGCATGATAAGGAGTTGATTGAGACTGAAGCTATGATACAGCAGTGCAAAAGTGATTGAGACTGAAGCTATGATACAGCAAAAAAAAAAGTGATTGAGACTGAAGCTATGATACAGCAGTGCAAAAGTGATTGAGACTGAAGCTATGATACAGCAGTGCAAAAGTGATTGAGACTGAAGCTATGATACAAAAAAGTGATTGAGACTGAAGCTATGATACAGCAGTGCAAAAGTGATTGAGACTGAAGCTATGATACAGCAGTGCAAAAGTGATTGAGACTGAAGCTATGATACAGCAGTGCAAAAGTGATTGAGACTGAAGCTATGATACAGCAAAAGTGATTGAGACAAAATGATACAGTGAAAAGTTTGAGACTGAAGCTATGATACAGCAGAGACTGAAGCAAACAGCAGTGAAAAGTTTGAGACTGAAGCTATGATACAGCAGTGCAAAAGTGATTGAGACTGAAGCTTGATACAGAGTGCAAAAGTGATTGAGACTGAAGCTATGATACAGCAGTGCAAAAGTGATTGAGACTGAAGCATGATGCAAAAAAGTGATTGAGACTGAACAGCAGTGCAAAGCAGTGATTGAGACTGAAGCTATGATACAGCAGTGCAAAAGTGATTGAGACTGAAGCTATGATACAGCAGTGCAAAAGTGATTGAGACTGAAGCTATGATACAGCAGTGCAAAAGTGATTGAGACTGAAATGATACAGCAGATTTGAGACTGAAGCTATGATACAGCAGTGCAAAAAGTGATTGAGACTTGATACAGACTGAAGCTATGATACAGCAGTGCAAAAGTGATTGAGACTGAAGCTATGACAGCAGTGCAAAAGTGATTGAGACTGAAGCTATGATACAGCAGTGCAAAAGTGATTGAGACTGAAGCTATGATACAGCAGTGCAAAAGTGATTGAGACTGAAGCTGATGATACAGCAGTGCAAAAGTGATTGAGACTGAAGCTATGATACAGCAGTGCAAAAGTGATTGAGACTGAAGCTATGATACAGCAGTGCAAAAGTGATTGAGACTGAAGCTATGATACAGCAAAAAGTGATTGAGACTGAAGCTATGATACAGCAGTGCAAAAGTGATTGAGACTGAAGCTATGATACAGCAGTGCAAAAGTGATTGAGACTGAAGCATGATACAGCAGTGCAAAAGATTGAGACTGAAGCTATGATACAGCAGTGCAAAAGTGATTGAGACTGAAGCTATGATACAGCAGTGCAAAAGTGATTGAGACTGAAGCTATGATACAGCAGTGCAAAAGTGATTGAGACTGAAGCTATGATACAGCAGTGCAAAAGTGATTGAGACTGAAGCTATGATACAGCAGTGCAAAAGTGATTGAGACTGAAGCTATGATACAGCAGTGCAAAAGTGATTGAGACTGAAGCTATGATACAGCAGTGCAAAAGTGATTGAGACTGAAGCTATGATACAGCAGTGCAAAAGTGATTGAGACTGAAGCTATGATACAGCAGTGCAAAAGTGATTGAGACTGAAGCTATGATACAGCAGTGCAAAAGTGATTGAGACTGAAGCTATGATACAGCAGTGCAAAAGTGATTGAGACTGAAGCTATGATATAGCAGTGCAAAAGTGATTGAGACTGAAGCTATGATACAGCAGTGCAAAAGTGATTGAGCCAGGTCAGGACTGATAACATTACAGATTCTTTAGATTTTGTCAAGAATCTCTAGATATATATCAGAAACACCAGACCATATGTGGCAACAATATTCAATGCATGGGTGAATGGTAAACTTACTTTCAAGACAGATTCAGTTGAGAAAGATTGTCTAGCATGACACAGTAAAATTTGACAGATACTTCATTTGAAATATTATATTGAAATTTTGTCAATAAAAGTTTATAAAAATTAAAAATATTTGTATCCATGAAAAATAGACAGAAATATAATATTTTTTTTATTTAAATGAGATAATTAGATTAAAAACAATCTAATTGTTTCATTTAAAGAAAAAATGTAGTTGCTGCTTCTTAGCAGACTCTTCATTTAGAATACTGAAGATTTCTCAATAAAAGTCAATAATTGGATTAAAAAAATGCTCCTGAACAGTAAATCTGAAAATAAGTGACTAAGGAGAAATTGTCAAAATTCCAAGCCAAATATTATTGAGAGAAGCACTTTCAGTTACTTTATTGAAAGGTGTTATTTTCCTGTGGAACCAAAATTATGAGTGAAAAATTTGTACAATGTAAATTATAGTAAGTAACCCACTTTGCTTTGAACAACATAAAAACAGTAAAGATAAGATGTTCAAATAAATTACATAGTTGCAACCAATTCTACTCCTGGATAATAATTGCTTTATAATTATTGTGGCCAATTTGTCTTTATGATTAATCCTAACCCTCTTACTTTTGCCTGTTTTAAAGGTCAATCCTGTTTTCCAAGATCTTAAAAACTTTCCCAAGACCCTGCCTTTAAACTTAGAATGCTTTCATGGCACATGTATAAGACTTATGAATTCCACACTTTGTGATATGTTTTCTTTTATTAAAAATTACAAAATTACATT